TTTCAACCAGGGATGACTCATAATCAATACAATTACGTATGCTAATCCTAACGTACATGTATCTGCATGCTGTTTTTCACAGGTATACAAAAGCCTGCTTTGTCTGCAGACATCCCAGACTAGTCCAACTGCCGGGACTTTTTTTTAGCAGGACTTTTCCAAGATCGACTCTTTTCACCACACCCAAAGGAAGGGCTTTCTACCTGAAATATGTCACCATACCACCTCCTTGTCACAGAAGCCTAGGATGACTGATGACACCTTTTTGGGACAGACATCCCAGGATCATTCTAGCACAGTAGTCTATGTGACCACCAATGATTATGATTGCAGTACGAGTATAACCTGGCACTAAATCTTTTAAACAATACTAGATAGAGGAGAATATAATGCTTTTGCTAGGGATATTGCATCTTTGCAACATTTCATTTACATATGAGAGGGTCTGCATGGGGGGTGCTGATTACGCTTTACGCTAAATTTATGGAGGCTCGCAACGCCTTACGTTAAATTCCGGGAGGCCGGCAACGCTTTACGCTAAATTCTGGCACAGAATCGACCCCGTATGCGATATAAATCATGCCCGTAGCCAGGATTTTGAATGGGGGGGGGGGTTCTTCCCACTGCTTGAGGGGACCTCGAGCGCCGTAGGCGCGAGGTTCCTAGGGGGGGTCCGGGGGCATGCTCCCCCGGAAAATTTTGAAAAATGAACCTTCTAAAATGGCATTTCGTGCATTTTTGAGAGGATTTCCAAGAAAAAATCAGAGATAAATTTTTATTCAATGAGAAAGGGAGCAGTTTTTCTACGATTCCAGTCCATCTTTTCAAGAAAAATCTTGGACCTTTACATAATGATAAAAAGTGGACCAAAAAGTGGACCTTTACATAAAAAGTGGACCAAAAAGTGGACCTTTGAGCCTTGTGGGGCATTGAGCCTCCGAACCCCCCGAACACCCCCTGGCTACGTGCATTTTAAAAATGCGCACAAACACGGGCGTCGCGTGAGCCATGGTGGGATTGTACCGCACACATGGACCCAGATGGGACAGGCAAGAAAGGGACAGACAAGATGAAGATGCGATGTGCTCCCGCCACCCGGCCAATACTGACCAATAATAATAGCACAGAACTCCACTGATGTCATGGGTGCTCTCGTGTCCAGATTAGACAATAGAAATCCTCGGTACGACGTTGACCCAACAGGTCATCCGCTGGTTGCTGGTTCGTCCGCTACGGCTTACGAAAAATGGGAGTCCAGACTACGATTTACGGGGAATTTTTAGGCTCGATTACGCTTTTCGTGAAATGCACTGGCTACGCTTTACGGGAAATTTTCGCCTCCTCACTACGAATTACGGTGAATAAAATAACTTCCCTACGAATTACGGGAAATTAAAAAGGCCCGCCTACGCCTTACGGAAAAGAGCATGCAGACCCTCATATGATGAAATGCATATTTTGTACATTTACACAATATCAGTCAGTTGGGAATTTGGGCTACAAAACTGATTATATACAGCAAAGTTTAATGTGGGAAATATAATTTGAAGAAGCAAGAAATTTGTGCATTGGAGTTACACTGTAAGTGCTATCCATCCATGGTACATGCTCAGGTAAGTTGAAAGGTCAAGTCAGGCACACTACATTATATATGTGTCATCTGTGTATTCCCAGGGTAAGTACTATGGTAATATTACATCATGCATGCTGCTACCATCTACACTGATAACAGCTGTACTGTAATGAGGTCATCTGGAACAGAAAAGGATTGCCGCCGACCCCTGTGTCACAAATTTGTAGGTGTGCAGCGCACCATTCAGCCATGCTCCTTTCACAAGCACCAACACAACGCTAACCCTGTCATGGCAACTTCCACACAGAGAACACTGTCTTACTCTAAGTCTACACATACATGGTCCTCCATCACAATGCAGTTCACAATATCTCAGAGGAAAAATGCTATGGCACGACTTTTCAATGTTGACAATGCAAGCTCTGTTTATACAGTTCCAATCACAACAGATTACAACATGTATCCGACGGACCAAAGTGTGAGTATAACCTGGATACCGCAAATCCATTAACCATTGGTTGTCATAACTGGTGCTTCCTTCATCGCATGCAGGACCCATGCCATCTGATGGGTCCTGCATGCGATGAGCCATCTCTTGTCTAAACAGTCTTCAAGAGACAGTCCTATATCTTTTTGTTAATTTCTGCTATGGCCTGAGTGATGTGCAATTCTTCTTGTCTGCTACTCCAAGTATTTTGGTTTTTGTTTGGATCAATTAACAAAGGAATCTTCTTCACGGAGATTCAGACACATAATACTTGGGGTGGATTAGTCCTCAAGCCAATTGACATACACTCACTGAAATTTTCTTCAATGAGAATTTATTTACAAGACAATACATGTCTGTAGCAACTTTGTACAAATGTGGGGTTAAAGGAAAGGGATTAAAAGACACTACTGAAGAAAAGAGAACTATGGAATGTTTATACAGTTATTATGGGATTACCAGTATGCCATGAGAACATGGCAGTTGATCTAAACAGATGTAATTGAAGCTGGTGTGTTACGCCAAAAGGCGGTTATACCGGCTATACAGATACAGGTAATATCATGTCAACAATGTAATCATTTTTCAGTTATACACATGGTTTACAAGACTATTCCATATGGCGACAAAAAAAATGTTTAATTCTCAAAACGAACTGCACCAACTAGATTTGTGCTTTCCATGTGAGATCCCTACTTGTTCACAGTGGTTGAATCATGAAGTGTTCTACCTCCATGGTTGAATCAAGGAGGTTTGGTTGACTGCATCAAATACCACAGTAGCGATCATCCCTGTTGTGTCCAAGCTACTGTGTACAATACTGTTCTCCTTGTTTAGTAAAAACAAGACTAACATCATTGACATGAAAACCGAAACAAAAGACAGGAAATCGAAGCCATGCGTTAAGGGTAGTTACATCACCAAAACATTGTACCTCAGTAGCAGTTACATGTACAGTGTTGTTTCTTAACAGCTGACTCATCAGCTGACTGTCATGAGTTTTCAAGTCTCCATGTAGGTCCGAATCCACTCTAAACCCACAACTTACAGCATGAAAAGAAACCCTCATTCTTGCTAAAGCTTCTGCAAAACCAGATTAGTACAAGGGCTACCAGAGGATTAAGCTCTCTGTACAATTTGTTCCTCTGTAAAGCGGGATATCCTTTTTTGTCGTCTGAAGGAGAAAGAAGCATTCATGAGGGAAGAACTAGTAACTGTATACAGCTGAATATGCATGATCTAGGCATACAGAAACTATTTATAGGAAGGAAAGTCTCTCCCATTGTAAGTATTGGTCCTGGGAGTGCTTTGCATTAACTGCACCTACCTAATTATTTCATTCATATGGAAACAATGTTAATCTTTGTTTTTCCTTCCTTATCTAAATCCAACTGATGACTGATCATCTGCTAATTATTTTGTGTCTTCAAAACCACAGCCTGAGGGTACGATAGAATAATACAAGAAACACCGTGGGACAGAGCTCCAGGTATAGACTGTACTGTAGTGTACAGTAGTACTATTTGGGCCAATTTAACAAAGGAAACCTCTTGTGTGGGCTGAATTTTGCATATTGAGGAACTAGATCTAGCATTTAAAAAATTGAGAAAGACCTAGGGTTGCTCTAAGAAAGTATATTATCATGCAATTAACACCTCGTGGGCATACTTTTTATCTAACATTGCCTTTTTTTTCTGAATGTAAAACTGTAAAGAAATGAAAAAGGCTACTAAGTAAGAAGGATTACAAAGTGCTGACTTGGCATTTCTTACACATTTGGGGTGGGTGACAGTATGAGCAGTTACACTAAACCCTGATGCATGCCCTTTTACAGCCAGCCCTTAGCCTGATCCCAGTAATGCACGAGGGCCACTGATGGAACCAGACTGCAAACTGCCCATACACATACTAAACAGCCATGGGCGTGAGAAAACTACCAGACAAGAGCTATCTGCCTGACGCATAAACTCCCAACACTCACAGACAAACTATCCGTTTATGTATCAACTTACCAATCAGGTGGAAGTACCTCAAACAGCAGGTCACAAAGACTGATGCAGCTCTACATTAAACAGCACAGTGCATCTAATGACTACCTTTAGGGAGGCTATAACTCTGCTAGGGACATGACATAACGTAATGACATGACATCTATCAGGAGCAATGGTATACCGTATAGCCAGCGGATCAGTGGGGTTCTACTATAATTGAAGATGAGCAGATACCAGTACCTTAAAGTCTTACCTGTTAGGGACTGCAGACAAAAGTAACACAAATGGTGCTACAAGATGTCACATTTTTAACATACACTGCAATGTAATTATTAACAAGACAAAAGCACAAATCAAAATTTATTCCAAGCTAACAGAAGTAACTTATATGGAATATATTTTGGCCATAATAATTTTCCTGGTATTATCCAAAAATGGATAGATCCCCACAAAATACACTCATTTATATTCTTCCCTGATAACCAAGGGATCAATGCAAGCCTAGCAATTGGCTGTCTGCAATGATGTCATCAGGTTACCATGGTGATGTGCTGGTGCAGCTTCCTCCTGAAGGAGGCTGCACCAAGAAGTACAGATGGTAACGTTTCATTTTGAGATCGTGGAAAGGGCTATAGACATGACAGTGTGGTTCTCTCCATTCCCCTTCAAAAAATTGCAACATATATATATGCATGATAAACACACACATTGAGACCCAGGCATGGGGACAGTTTATTGATGAGAAGCCTGGTCCTGATGCTGATCCTCCATCCAATCCAGCATCAGCCGCTTCTGTCTGAGCCCCCAGGAGGGAACTCGCCATCAGACTGTATCACCATGTCAAGTCTTTCCCCCACACAGACCGGTGATATTGGGACGTGCTATCGCATAAATAAAAGCATAATGAAATCGATGGAACAGGGCTGGGGGGAAAAACGTCTCATCCTACCTTATGCATCTTGCACATCGCCCCCAGTGCTTTGACATCGTGGTTTTGGTGCTTGCCATCCTCCAAGCACTGGTAACAGACCGGGATCTTGCACATGATGCAAAACATGGAGATGTTTTCGTCGGTATGGCGGATGCAAGTGGACACACCCTGGGACGTCTGGTTGCGGGCCTTCATGGCGGCCTTCCCCAGGGCTGGGGACACGAGGGTGTGCTTGGCCAGGGGACCTCGGAGGGGGTGACAGTTCTCTCGGCACTTGTCGCAGTAGTAGACGGAGCACTGCTCGCACATGACGGTGGCATCGTTGGGCGCTTGGCCGACGCAGAGCTGGCACTTGATGACGATATTCTTGGTCTCCTCGTACTTCTCGACGATCGTCTGCAGCGCTTTGTTCCGCGGGAAGCCCTGGACGCCGAGGTCGTCCAGGTAGGTGGTGCGGCGGCACTGCGGGCAGCGTATGCACGAGGTGGTGGTGGAGATGGACGAGCTAGCGCTGACAGTGGAGAAGGCGGGCGAGCTCGGGCAAGTCGCCGCGTAGCCGCTCAAACTCGCCCCGTAGCCGGAATCCGCCTCGCTGTACAGGCTCAGCTTATCGAACTTGTCCAGGTCGGTGTAGTCGTAGGCGGAGGAGTAGTCCGAACCGGGGGAGGAGATGGTGGAGTGGCGGTAGCTCAGCGCGTCCTCCTCCGTGGGCTTGAGCCCGTAGGTCTGGGTCACCTGGCTCGCCGCGCACGACAGGCAGATGCTGTGCTGGCAAGGCAGGATGATGGGGACGTTGAAGAAGCATCGGCACACGGGGCACTTCAGTTCCTCCTCCATCCCGAAAGAGCCCCGATCTCCCGCCGCCGCCACGGAAAACATGCATGCACACCCTGCGAAACGCGCCCGACAGAAACCCACTGTACTGTACCCGGCTGATCAGGCCCCGCTGCACACACCTCTGTGTTGTGTTGATGTATTCAATTTGAATTAATTGACCACACAGAGCGCATGCCCAATGTGATTACTCATCGGCCAATGGGAAAGAGGGGCGTTTGGAATGCAGTAGCATGTACTCATCACGAAAGATGAACAAAAAATGGGAAGAAAATGTGAGCATTTTACAGCTTTAGTCGAGTAAGAGTCAACAAAACTGTGAAAATGCATTGATACAGGGAAATGCGATACGATTACAAACGGAGAGACGTGTTGAGGAAAATACTATTTTGTGATTGTTTTGTAACCCTAACGTTAGTCCTGTACTTGAAAAAAAAAAACACGATGTAAAAGGTATCATAGTAACATGGAGTGTGTTCATTGCAGTTTAAGTATGATGCAAATACAATCTAACACTTTGAACCTGGGAAACCTACTTTACAAAATTTTACAAATACAAATGAAATGTATCTGAAAATATATCTGAAAATATATCACTATAACGTTAACGTTACATAATATTAGATCACTCTTGTTTTGTTTTTTGTTTGTTTGTTTGTTTGCTTGTTTGTTTTTTTCAAAGCTTAGATCTCTCTGGTTCAGCAGTCTTCCAGAACGACCGAATACATGGGTTCCTTTCACTAGTATATAACATGTTACGCGTCATGTGCCAGTCTTATACATTGGTGGCGTATTGGACCCTCTCTGGCCAATGAATACTGCCTGGCCAATTTGATACTGTCTTGCCACCCTAGGATCTGCTTGCAGATTAAGATTCTCCGACCTTCATGTAAACCCCATTTCCAGGGTCTGGCATTAGTGGCCTGTCGTTTGCCCGTCAATCTTCCCTCCACTCACGTACTGTCAACCAACTCTGTCTAGACAAACAAATACACAGACCAACAGATCAGCCACCCACAACAGTACTCCTGCACCCGGAAGTAAATGGCGTTACATGTAGTAGTGTTTTGTTCGACAAATTGACAGCACTCGAAAGCGTAAACGAACGCTGCATTGGGGAAAAGCGCTCTCTGGTGGGTAAGTTGCAAACTGCAAGGTTCAATTCGCAGCCTTTAATCTAAACGGAGCAGCAAAGACACCGACCTATTAAGCAGATTTTCCCCTTCCTAGCACAAGATTAGACACTAACGTTAGTGTTAAATGTGACTTTTCACTTTACATCGTACGAACTAAGTGACGCCTCTTCCCGACCCCCCTTTCCAGCGAATGGAATGTCCCCGACAGGTACGTCAGCGACTGATACCAACCTTCGACAATTGTTTCCCGCTCACACCTCTGACCCTCTATTCAAGATCGTTGTACTTAGATAACCTGTGGGACGGATCGGTTACAAATTGGGCGTCAAAGCCAAACCGACAAAACCGTAATCGTCTACGAGCGACCTTAAGTGTACATTAAGTGCGGTGTGTGTGTGGTAGCTTTGGCACGTGCAACTCAGGAGAAGTTCAAACGAGTTCAGTGGAACTAGTATAGGACCAACACAGTAGTACAGTACAGTGACTGTAGGTAGAGCAGGGCGACAAAGGGAAGAATGGACAACCCCCGACAGAGAAAGAAAGGAAGAAAGACCGTCGATGGTACTAAGCAGAAGGGAAGCAGCTCTACGAAGTCAGTGGACGGGAAACAGCAAGCTCAGACAAGGTGTGTATTTTACCACAACAAGCCAGTACCATGTTTGTGCTCGAGGACTAAACAAATTTGTAGACGGGTGGGTGCGTCCTGTGAACATAATCGATTGCCTGTTTATATGCAATCGAGTGAAGGACCATGCTTTTTAATACACCGTCAGTACGTAGCTAACCAAAGGCAAGCTCTGCGTCCTATAAATTTACAATACAGTATGTACGCCAGGGGTGTGTAACATGTTCGGTATCGTTCATTTGAAGTCGGCGAGCAAACACATCGCGTGTTGCACATAAGACTACAGTTTTCAATCGCTGCTCTAGTTGCCGTTTTCATTTGCGACTGTACGTGTCACAGTTAAGCTATCGAGTTTGCTGTACTTGTCAGCTGTTGTTGTTGTTCCGTCAAGTCTTTGTTATTGTTGCCGCCATGTCACTGGTTTTGATTATACGGAGTCTAGAGCAGTGTCGATCTGAGATGACCTCAGATAACAAAAGAAGTACAAGACGGAAGTGAAGCCAATACGATGTGATATACAGAAAAACGTACGTACTACTGCTTGTACTTCTTGTCACATACGTAGAACAAAGTGCGTGAATTACCGTGGAAAGTACACGGTACGAGACACAGTGGTTCTTTTGTTGACAACAGCCTGTTTAGACCAAGGTCTACGCGGCATGTTATCGGTTCCATCTTGTCAAACCTGTCTTACCGATTCGATCCTGGCGTTACGATGGTGTTGACCATTCGTTCTGGTCTATGGCTGTTAGTCCAACAACTATTAACCCTTTATCTGTTGTGTACCAACGTCTAAAATATTGTATTGAATAATACTAGTAATAGTACATGAACGAATGTCTTGGAATTATTCCAAGACATTCGTTCATGTACTATTACTAGTATTAGTGTAGTCGATTGATTTAGAATTAGCCTGGGAACCATCCTACTTGTATACCGGGGCTCCCACACTCGCTTCCCTAGGGAAGCGAGTGTGGGAGCCCCGGTATACAAGTAGGATGGTACCCAGGCTAATTTAGAATTCCCTCCAGATATAAATCTTACAGATATTTTGATAGCTACTCTGCACTGGCTATATCGCTTTTTATGCATTAAACACTTGCAATCAGTTGGCTTGAGAAGCTAGCCAGCTTCAGGAATTTTAATACCATGTGTAACATAGTTGTCATGAACAAAGGGTTGGATCGCTGGAAGGCAGATCCTTTAAGGAAGGAAAACCGATATGGTCTGTTATACGGAGGCATTTCACGGGGGAGCTCTGGCGTTTTATTCACTTATTTCTTGATTATTACTGTAGAATTGCATCATCCAACTGCCCTACTTTTTCATTGATGATCATTGATGTCCTCCCACAGATCACCTTGTGTGCAGTGCCTGCTCATGTTCTGCGCGGTTGTCGGTGTGCTTACCGCGGTAATACTGATCCTCCCCTGCCCTGCGGACCCGCAGGAGTACAGGTATGCACAATCTGTCATCCGCTTCTCTAACAAAGCATTCATGCCTGTGGATTAGGAAAGACACATGGCCTGCGGTAAAAGTATTTTTCTCAGAAGGCGGTCAGCTCTGAACTAGCTGGCTACCACCTGGCTTGAACTAGCTGGCAACTATGTTATCCGAAGGTCAGTTATGCGGATGACCACAGAAAGATAATTTTGTTTGTTTGTTTGTTTGTTTGTTTGTTTGAAAAATTGTTGGCTCTTTACATTTGCAGGTCCCAACTGTAAACCAGTGTAAGTTGAGCCACCCTGGTTACTAAAGTATACCGGAATAGAGAAATAATAAATGAATCAAATGACCAAGGCTGCTTTTCTTACACACTACAGCTTCCCCGACCCTCCCAAGCTTGAAGGACCACTCGCACCAAACACAGTTCTGAGTAGAACGGAGCGATTTCTCGAAGGCAAGGTCATGGGCCCAGAGTCTCTTGTGACATACAAAGGTACGCCATTGGACTAAGATGCACTTAATGCATCTTGAATAAAGTGAGTCCTTTTACACAATCAAGTATTTTATTCACCGTACGGCCAACGTTTTCACTGTGACCGTCTGTCACCTTCCTCAGGACCATTCAATTATCTATTCAGTAACTTACCAACCTGATGAAACAACCAGTATTCACCGATATGAACTCTTTCCGTCTACGCCGCAGGTGACCTGTACACGGGCACGGCGGATGGGAAGGTGCTGAGGATACGTGGCGAGGAGGTGACACTTGTCGGCCGGACAGGCACGCCGCCTTGCGGTAACTATTATATCCTTTCCTTTGATATATCCTTTTCGGTGCAGGGCTGTCATCAGCTGAATAAATGCACCAGTTTCAGCAATAACTCCAAGAACTAATCCACAAGGCTACACCAAAGAAAATATTGAATGAGAGTGGCACATGAGGCTGTGAAAGACTACTAGTATGACACAACATCATACCGCTGTGGGGCTTATATTCAAATAGATGTCGTTCCAGATCGAGGACAGAGAGTCGAAGTTGACGGAAATATGTATCAAAGCCAGAGATTTATCTTTTGGGTCTTGGGTCTTTTGCAAAAAGAAAACGGGAAAAAACCGTGAACAATCTGATTATATTTCGTCTGTTTAAGTAATTCGAGTTTTTGTATTCACCGTATTTTCCCCAGGCACCTACGAAACTGAGCCTACCTGTGGTCGCCCACTGGGCATGCGCGTGGACAGCCTTGGTAACCTGTACATAGCAGACGCGTACCTCGGACTGCTGAAAATGAACATCAGCACAGGTGAGATTTGGCGTCACGAGGCCTTGTTTGCCGCGTATGCGTACATCAGATGTCAAGATTTGAGGCAAGGTAGCCCCGTTGAATCTATCGCTTAGTACCTGGAGGCAGCATTTCCAAAGCTTATCGATGAAGCTGTTCGACGAAGACAAGTAGAGACACTTAAATACGGTTAACACCTGTTACAAAAATCTACAGTGAAATCAACGCAACATTATTCAATAATGCGAAACACTATTCTACTAACGCTCTTAGGCAGACGGGAAGTCGCTGTCCTTGGTGCTGATTTTCCATCGGATCGGGATATCTGGGAAGCGGGCCGGGAAATATTATTTTTTTTTTTATTTTATTTTATTTATTTTTTTATTCGTTTTATATCTAAGAGAAGTACATACAGCAAAAAGAAAACAGTGTGGCAAGCCCCTCTTAATACAAATATACTAATACACAGAATACATATTTGTGCTGTGACATTTTACGAAGAATGTTTGTCTCGAAAATCATGAAAATAATGCATTACAGAAATAAGGTTTCTTATTCAATGCTGTACTCTTATAGATGTCATATTTTGCAGAAAGTAAACAGCGGGCCGGGAAAATATAGTCAAACAGGTTTCAAATGCACAATGGTCAAACCAAAATTATCACCATAACGTAACCAGTTACATCTATTGTGCGTAGCTACCGTGGGTATCCAATATTCTTTGTAATTTTTGATAGGAGATCATGAAACACTGATCCCGATGGACGTGGAAGTGGCCGGTCATAAGATGATGTTTCCGAACGACCTGGCCATAGACCGGGACGGAGTGATCTACCTGAGCGACTCCAGCCTGACGTGGCAGCGCCGAGACGTCTTCAGTCTTGTGATGGAGATGAAGCCGGATGGCAGGTCAGTTGGCGGTGTTTTAGCCTGACTGAACCTCACTTTTCGCCGGCTCCCTACGACTATCTAGGGAGCCGGACAAGAGCTTGGGTTTCACAGGCTAGCGGTGTCTAATGATTGGTGACATCGAATGACCGAGTGGTTAGGCCAGCGGACACGAGATCGAACGGTGGCGGGTTCGATCCCTGGCATTTCTGGTTCGTTGTGCTATTGGGAAAGGCACGTAACGTGACTTTGTGTCCTTAGCTTGGAAAAGGCACTTTTCTCACTCCACAATAGGTGTAATATGGGTACCTGACCTCGTCTGTGGAGGTAAAAGGTGGTGGAAGGAGAGGGCTGGGCTCCGCCTGCCAATACCGTGCCCAGTTGATTGCAAACCCACTGCCCCTACGGCTACGGCCAAAAAAATGCTATGGGACTACCTTTACCTTTTTGTACTGTCTTCTACTTTTGTACTTATCTTCTAATTAACGTAAAAAGTATCGTACTCCGCTGAGGTACACCAGGTGGTGTTTCTCGAGTAAACTCTACTTTCTTCACCCCAGAGTCCTGCGTTACGACACGAAGACCAAGCAGGTTCGGCAGATCATGGACGGTATCAGTTTTTCTAACGGAGTGGAGCTGTCTCCGGACCAGTCGTACCTTGTGGTGGCCGAGACGTCCAAGGCTCGCATCCTGAAGTAAGGAATGCCTAGATTCTAGTCATAACGATTGTTGTCATCATCACAGGTATTTATAATACTTGTATCCCGTCCAGGGAATTATGATGATCACAGTTGCTGTATAGTCACAATTCTGTGTAGCTTACGTTTCGTACGAAATGATTAACCGCTTTTAAGTTCTTTGCTCAATATTTACACAAAACCTAGTCACATTAGATGGAAAGCCCTGTATCCTCATACAGTAGACACTGTTGAGAAATAATTGCAATATCACAATACTAGGTATGCTATCTTTTTCCCATGGGTTTCACAATGTGCCAACTGTTTTTCATCGAACTGTTTTATCCAACTTCACATTTTTAAAGACACCACCTCCGCGGAGAACATGCCGGTAGAACCGAGGTTCTGACGGACAACCTTCCCGGCCTGCCCGACAACATCCGCAGCAGCAGCCGCGGCGGGTACTGGGTAGCGCTGGCCGCCACCAGGGGGACCAAGGGGCCCAACCTAATGGACGCTATACAGGCCAGGGCATGGCTGAAAAGGCTGATCTTTAAGGTAGGAGCATTCCCGTGACAAGTCGATTTCTCTTCTTTACAAGGTCCGAAGAGACGTCCACTTTCTGTCTATTCATAAACGTTACACAATGGCACAGACATAGGGTAGTCACCATGCATCGTCAGGAATGAAAAGAGAAATGATCTGTAACAGTTAGATGCATTCTGTGATAAGTCGAGTGATTTCCCGACCGGCAAATAGAAAATACAAAATGCATAATATTACCGTTTTGCTTACTCGCAAACAAGATTTCGACGCAAATGTCTTAAATGTTCTTCGATAGACATTGCGTACACATATTTTTAAATTCGACTCTAAAATGTTTGCTGTTTGCTGGCATCCAACTATTATAAAAACCCAAAATGCATTCCTTTTTATTTCAGGTGTTACCCATGCACTTGGTCCTCCTTGCTGCGCCGCAGTACGGGCTGATACTTGAGATAGACGAGACAGGGGCCATCGTCGCCAGCTACCACGACCCTGAAGCAAAAGGCATCGCCAGTGGCAGCGAAATTCACGAGCACGAGGGACATCTGTACATAGGGTCTTACGTAGCAAAATTCCTTGGTAGACTAGCCTTAGAAGAACTTGATCGGCTATAGTAGCTCCGGGAACGGATGTATTATTTTTGAGTGCGTTTGTCTGTGTGTTTGTATTTATGTATTTTTGAGCGCGTTCTGTCCTACTAGACGTTGAAAGTAACGTTACATCAAATTCTTTACAGACAGTTCAGTTCATAGACTCATCCGCGCCGTAACTTAACCCTTCCTCACAGTCATGTATTCCATCAGTGAAAATCTAATCACCCACTCAACTTGTTCTCACCATCATCCTTGTTGTTATCGTAATCATGAAGAAATGATACATTCGCAAATGTGAAATGAAGTGTTTATTATTTTTTTAACAGCAGTGATATCACCAGATAGTGATGCTTTCTGAGACATATAACTACGAGCACAGTTGAAGAAACCCAGCAGTTTGTGTATATAATTGACAGGCAGGCGTGGCATCCATACAACGAATCGTATCAGCAAGAGGTTCAGACAGTAAGATTGAAAATATGTTGCTCTGTCACTGAATTTGTTGCTATTCATGGGCGGCCTCAGTGAAACATGATCCTGCCCTGTCCTGTCTGTGGCGATGCGGCTATAATAATACATATTCATACATATTGTTGTGACATGTACTTCACCACAAACATAGGAAAACGATATGTAGGTATTTGAATGTATGGACAATCTCTACACATTAAAGTAGGAGTCACCTAGCTAGACGTAACCGAGGAGTTCCCCAATATGAATGTCTAAGTATGCCTATGTTACACACACAACAAATAATGGCATCACATATCTCAAGGGGAGGGTCTTCTCCCTTTTATATCTTCTGACTCACATGACAAGCTCTTTCCTATCTGCAACTTCTGGAATAGTTTGTCTTTATTTGGCACGCATTTCAGACAAAACTATTGCACTCTCATCTATATTTCGTGTGGTTCTCGTAGTCAGCTTGCACGTACTGGCAGGACACACACTGTGTCAAGGTCAAGGTCAACTACAAGTCAGACAAAGATGGCGGCCGCAACGTTCGTATGTTCGGTATTGCAGCATCTTAGTCTTAAATGACTGATCTTAATCATTTCAACTAACGTTACATCAGTACACACCTACGTCGGTACACATCATGAAAATAATTGCTATCATCATATCCAGAAAAAAATACACCATTGTCAGATTCTTACGTCATCCCGCATCAAATGCAAGGTTTTCAAGATAGTTGTTTCATGTTTCTTTTTTTACGTTGACAATTTTCATAGATTAGTTACTCTATTTATGTTGTTTTGTACATGCTTAATAATAGGCTAGTGATTCACACAAAGTCGTCATCTTACTTTGAGAATTTACAATTGCTTAAAACAATGCCAAAAGCAACGAGGCATGTGCATATGTGAGACTTTGATATTGCTTCTTGCTGGCTATGTGGGTCCAGAGACTTGTACCCTGTCTCATCCAGCGCAAATGAAATGCTAGTGATTTGTTCCGTATGCAGCATCATGAGCCTATAGCATTTCTAATCGAAAGCTGGTGAAAGCTCAAGTGTCCAACTAAAAATCCAGACCCAATGTGCAACAGGGTGGTGTTCGGCATAACATATCGATTAATCTTCGTGTATAGCATATACAAAAACGTAGTTTCCTTAGTCAATCGGATGGTGATGTATATATTCTTCTCTTAATTTAGAAGGAAGTCTGGCCATGGACATCCGGAGACCACGGTGACGACACCGTCCCACAGAGAGAAGGCCGGGCAAATCGGAGTCACGAAGTGTGCTTTCAGCGTGTGCAGTCTCAGTCCGATATCCGCGTTGTAGAAGGCGAGCTCGCCCCTGTTGTAGTCTATGAGGATCCCTATCTTGTCCAGGTCGTGCTGCATGGCCAGCCGGATGGGCGAGTTGACGTCGTGGCGGAGCGTGTACTCGCGAGCGTTGCGGCGCAGCACCCAGCCGTCCTCGGTGTTCCCGATGATGCTGTCCCGCTGCGCGTCCCGGGAGCACACGCCGATGCGGTACGTGCGGCTCTCGCTCACGTCAACCTCCCAGTAGTGCCGACCGGACGAGATGGCCTTGTCGCCCAGCACGGCCACGCTGTACCCGACAAAGCGCTCCACGCTATCCTCTACGTCGATGTCGTAGTCCGGGTCCCACTCCACGGTTAGGTTGCCGTTCGTCAGCTTCAGGTCTCTGTGCGCCGTTTTGGGATCCAATCGGAACAGCAAGACCTGGCCAGGAGTTGTCAACAAAAGACCCAGTCAGTCTTATATTTCTTTACAGACAAGAAGAACAACTAGCCCGGAGGTACGTGGACACTATTCCGGTAAAAGTCAGTCTCTGTCTGACGGTGCGACACTCTCCAAAGCGCCTCCGGATGAAGAAAATTCACTTCAAGGAGTTCATCATTTCGTTCAGCCTCCATCTTTTCGGTTTGCGATCTAATAAAGAAGATCGGCGTTAGTGTACTTAGATCTAACGTTAACATCTACGACAAGGAAGCCGCAGTTACGATTAGGACCTGCATGAAGAAGATCACCCCTTCGCTAGCTAACACACATGGACGAAAGATAGAGGGTCAACAGTTAGTATGCAGTCGCCTGATATTTGTGAAGTTCAGCTCCGTTTTTCTCGTTTCTTCGGCCTATTAAAGCTACGTGTAAATGAGGTTAATGATGTGTCAACGTGTCACAGTAAACGTCAAATGCTCTAATGATGAAGCGTGTATGAGTCACATTAGGTCTTCTTTCCGCTCACCCACTCGGCCCACCTGCATAGTTCAGATGAGGAACTCACAATCATCAACGCATTTGCTCAGTGAGAGGACTGATCTAGAGGACAACATCCTAGAAACAATTGTCATTAGCCCAGAAAAAGTAGTACCAAGTTTTTAGAAATAGTACCTCCCGATTTCTTAGACTTCCTATGCATCGTTCTTCAAGAGAGGCGTCTGAGAGAAACCGTCTGATGCAGAGTTGCAAAACTTTTCGACTATAAAATGGCCGACCCAAATCTTTTGAATAGTGATTGTGAGTTGGCTCCAACCAGAAGCCTTCCTTGATGGTGCTGATACGAAACTTATGTAGATACTAGACTATTGAATACTACTGATACGACTGAAAGTCTATGTCTACAAGTTAGTTGATGCAGTAGTATGGTTTGTACGTAGAATCGACATGAACCTTAGTGTATGTTACAAACAAAAAATCAAAAGAGAAATGAAGATTAATTCTGATTGAAGAAAAACTACATGTCAGTAACCCAGGGAAGGGCCTAGGAACGAGGAAACATCCAAACACGCGCACACAACAAGGACGTTAGTTGAGAGGAGTTGTTAAGGAGAGTGAAGGAGTGGAACACGTTGCAACCGCATACCTCGCTTTTCACTGGTTGGGACTTCGCTTGGGGGAACAACTGCTGGGGTTCCTGCAGTCGTCACGGGTTCCTCTGGGGCTATAGGTGCAATCGAACGTGTTATCAGAACATGTAACGTTACAAGGGTGTGACTGGGTTCGGGAATGTCTAAGGATATGTGAGAATGTAGACGGCGAATACTGGTATGGAACGGAACGGAAATAAAATGTGTAATGTTGTCCTCTACTGTTGACCTACAGCCTGCCGCGCTAAAGATCTACGTAGACGTCTCGTCTGTCGGCAAAAGTCGAATCTGATGATTCTAACTCGTTCTAAAAGGGGAGAAAAGTAGTCATGTCAGGCTAAAAGAAAGCACTAGCTATAGGATAAGAAAGTAAGAATACTGATTTTTTAAATCCGTACCTTGTCCTCCAGCAGCGGATCTGCTGCTAAGATCGGAGGGTGTCGCTTCAGCTTCTGCTGACTCTGACGAAGACTGTCTTGCCATTGCTGACCTCCTCAGAGCCGCACTCCGGCTCAGCAGCGACATGGAAGAGGTGTCGATGTCGTCGTGTCTCGAAGAGGTTGACGAGCTCTCATTTCTGTCTCTGTCTCTATCTCTTTCTATTCCGAGAATGGCGGCGGCTCTGTCTGTCCTCTCGGCCCTCCTTCCCTCCAGCAGCGCCGACGTCCTCTCCAGGGCGGAAGAACCCCTTTCCAGCGCTGAGTTGGCTCTGTCCAGGGCCGAGGTTGTTCTGTAGGAGCTTGGGCTTCTGTAGTCCGAAGCGTCGTCTAGCAGGGCCGCAGTCGTTCTCTCGATTCTCTCTAACGCAGAGGCCGCGGCCGTCCGGCGCGCCCTGAGCGCGCTCCCGAAGTCGTCATCTGCCGGGGAGGAGGTCGCTGCTCGGTCGGCTCTATCTAGGGCCGACGAGCCTCGGTCTCTCAGAGAACTCCTGAAGTCGGAAGAATCGTCACGGTCACCTTCACGTGCACGATCACGATCTAACGAATTCCTAATGTCACCGATAAGTCCTCTTACACTACTTCTATAATCTGAAAGATCTGTCGAGGTGTCTAGAGATGTGTGCGATCTTGTGTAGCGGCGGAGCTGCCTGCGAGCGGGACGGGGAGACATGGACAAATCGTCCGCAGCCGTGGTCCGGGTGGACGACCGAGACAGGAGAGAACTGTAGTCTCGGGAAGACGACCACCGAGACGAGGAGGACGAGGAGGACAGGGAGTCAAGGAAAGAGCGACGGGAAGTGCGAGGAGTGGAGGGATCATAGGAAGAGGTGGGAGAGCGGGAGCGGGAAGAATCATAGCGGGAAAGATAAGACGAAGACGACAGAGAAGAATAATCAGAATCACGATCAGCAGACCGGTAATCCCGTCTCCTCGGGGTGTCCAGCAGGGACGACCGTCCGTCAGACGAGGACGAGGACGTGGATGGAGACGGGGACACGTCGTCGTCGCGGTTCCCGGCGCAGCAGGCGTCGTCGTCGGCGTCGTTGGTCAGGGGAGTCTTGACGTACTTCGCCACCAAGTCTTGGAAAGGGATTTCCTCGCCTGCAGTTCACAAAATGGCCATTGACCATTAGAGACTTCATCACTTTCGACCGGTTTAACAGATTAGCAATTTTCACAAGTACAGAGCAATGAGGACCTTTTTCAGTCGCCCGTTTAAGTACATGCATTGGAAATGTGGTTGATACAATTAATTTTTGTTCAACCATGGAGGTAAAAGTCTGATTTTCTAACTCTATGGTTCAACGCAGTGAGCCTTAAGGCAGGCTTAGATACATAGTTTTGTGGCTGGTTTTGGTACGTCTCCAGCTAGAACTGGAACTGCTGTTCTGTTTCACAATGTCTAGACCCTGCGTACTGTTGCGTGGACAGACATAAGCCTGTCGGTATCCCAGTAGGGTTACTCTCGAAGCAAATGTTTAGGCGTGATTTTAGGAGTTTTTATCTCGCTTTCCTTTTTGTACTGGTACCTTTTTTTACCCCAGCCTTCGACTGGCAAATGGTAACTGCCTGGCAAATGGATACTGCCTGGCCAATTCGAAACTGTCTTGCAGCGTCCGAAAGATCTGATTGGAGATTACAGTAGGGTAACGACAAGACGACGATTCAGCTAAACTACGGCTAAGCTACTGGGCATTGGCATCACGCCAGAGTGTAAGTAATGAGGGAGAGAGACTTTTCTGTAAGCAGCGGCGACGCACCTTGGCAGAAGTCCATCTTGCCGATCAGCTCCCTCTCTGCGGAGAAGTCCACATCATAGCGGATGATGGCCTCAGCATCCTCCGACCTCGGCTCAACCTCCTGGGCGATCTCTTTACTTATTCTGCAACGTGTGGACATCGTCAGACGTTAGGCTTTACCCACGTTATGACCCATTTTCGTATTACTGTACAGCATTGGAGAGAAACATTTCTTGCGATGTTGTCATCGGAAGGATGGAGTGGAGGAACCCAATATTAGTATTCAAGTTAATTAGATGTTTATGTGTCGTCAGTACGAAGAGTATGACCCCTGTGGGTGGCATCGGAAAGCCAGACAACGGACACAGTAGATAGATAGAAAGCCAAGACAGTAAAGGGGCAACAAAAAGAAACGGATTGACCACAAGAAGTCTGTCTTCCCGATGTCACTGAGAAATCATTCATCGTTTTCAATGTCAGCTTCTGGTCGAAAAGGTATTTTGACACCGCAACCGCTCATGCAGACCCATTAGCAGATTTACGCAGAGGAAGCAGGGGAACGACAAGGGCATTTCTAGACACACACCATCCCCCGATGACGCAACCGTTCACAGGGTGGTTTACATCACAACTTTGCAGAGAATACCGGGCAGGGCTCGATTCTTATAATCTCCAAGCAGAGATAGGGACCAACTCAGTGTTTTTTCATGCGTGTTTCGAGGCGTTTGATACTTCTTTTATGGCGGTGTCGTTTTCCCCCGTCCCCTTAGAAGCATCCCGTCCTCTAGGGAAAACAGGACCACTACAACGAAATAGATATATAAAAGCCTCAAAACACATCTGAAACACTTAAGATAATATACCAATTTGGCTTGTTCACTTTTTGATCTCCAAGATAGGGCTGGTTGCCATAGCAATGAACATTTTATACTTTTGGCCATAGAAGTTATGTGGGTTGCCAAATCATATACAAGTATCGAGCCCTGTGTATAGGAAAATGAATCCATTTTTCCAGGGTAACGTAAGAAGCGTGTTATCCATCTACTACGACAGCTTGGTGCCTCTCCAGCGGAAAATATTCCTGACTGGGGAGAGGGTCACCCATGCAGTAACTTAAGGCGCACAAGGTCACGCCATGCAGCTTTCAAACACACTCTGCAACACAAATAAAGGACATGTGTGAGTACAAACACAAGACTAAATCTATCAACTTGTGCTAGGTCTGGTAGGAAAACGTCCATGTTTAGCTACCAAGACTGGATTGGGATACGTCCAAGCCGACATTCCTGGTTATTACAGAGACGGTGGTTCATGCCGCAACAATGTCAACTACGTCACCGAGCAAAACAACGTCATGGCACAACAGGGAGATAGATCTCAGGTGGCTGACTTTAAGGACAGTGTCAGAAAGGAGGAATTTCAAATCTAGGTCGTATATCTCCAACGGTTAGAAGGCAGCTGCAACCTGTTGATGTAACTGTCACCTAACGACAGCCTATTTAAACTTTCAGGCAGGGATGACGTCGCTTGCCTAGCTATAACGTTATAACGTGAAGAATCACCCAAATAACACTGAATCCCCCGAGCATTGCATACGCATCGACATTTGGCCATGGAGGCTATGACACAGTTACAGTCATGTATATGGAATGTCGAGGATGTGATTTTTGACCTATAAACAAATACGTCAAATATGACAACATTGAGTGACCATGTTTCTCTTCCCATGACGCTTGTTTTGTTTGTCATACGTTAATGTAGGTGATTAATACTTGGCCACTGCGAAGTTAGAGAGTCACTATATTGACATGTAGTCATCAACGCACTTACTTCTCTTCAATTTCTGGTACATTCTGCTCGGACCAGGAACAACATGGAAGAGATAAGAACATTCAATATTAGTCGCACAGAATTGTAACAGGAGACATTCATCACAACATGTTATATCAACATCATACTGTGTTCGTATCTCATCTGATATCTTATCTTATCTGAGAGTGTTCTGCGACCTCTTTGCATACTTTCGACGGTACCCCTTGTATGTTTGACATATCGATTCCACCTGATATCTTGTTGTACATTTTGAACAATATCAAGTGACCCCGTCAACAATTCTTGTGCCAAGATGATGCCGTGGGTTGGAAAGAAACCCACTTATCAGTTAAAACATTTATTTGGGGTTAACGTACGTGTTTTAAAAACGTCATGTCAAAAATATCGATATCGGCCAAGAAATCCGAGTCGGGATCTGCTTATCAAATATTCTCATGTTTAGTTTACGACACGTTAAGTGCCGAGTTGCCCAAACTTTTTCAAAACACAGAGCATCGCCCTTTGGAACTGGACTGGCAAGTGCACAAATGTCGCAAAACAGTCTTTGCTCTGTATTAAGTCGAGCCAGGTATGTCGTAATCCAACACGGAAAACAAACGGTCAGTGTTCCGCCGCCCTCCTCTCTCCACGCTACAGTGGAAGAGTACTGCAGGGTGAGCGAAGCAGAAACACTCCAGGCCCGAAACGAGGTCTTTCACGCCTTGCCCCCATTAGTAGCATTAGCAGAGACTACATTGGACTACTTTTTGGGAGGGGGTTAGTGTCCCACGACATGGTTACTAGCGTTTTCCCCATATAGATTTTCCAAAGATACGTTTTCAAGGTGGATGTTAGTGTCGATTACTCGTTCTAGCCCCCAAGAGACATACCTAAAATTTGTATCGATTGGAAGTTGAAGTGTTTGTGTTTTTTATCGGATGAGATGTTAAAGTATATAGAGCGGAACTATGCCGGAACTCTATGATCACAGGTGTCAGCTTTGTATCACTTTCTGTGAAGTTGTCATCTAGATGTCGTTTTGGATTTCAAGGTCTAAACGGGTCAACACTTTCGTTATTTCTACCAGTATTGCTTCGGTGTAAGAGAAACATTGCAACAATGCTTCATACCCAAACCACGCTAAACAAACATTGTGACCAGTGAATAAGAAAACAGCTGTAACGTGTGGTAATAAATGGTATGATCACTATGTATATAACTGCTATACAAACATCATAACATTTTACGTCAGCTAATAATTCTTTACACGGTCCCCTATATTATCTTCCTTAACTTTAAATTCTAAATGACGATTGGTCGAAAATTTTATTTTCTAACACATATGGAGTCGAACATCTTCCGTCCCTCTTCTATCCTTGTTATGAGGCGGTGTTAGGACCTAGACGTGACCCTAGATACCAGACAGTCTTCTCAGACACATTCCGACTCATCTTTTCTTAGACCTAGAAGTCTGTACGTTATAAACATGTCTATACGGTTGTATACATCGAAGTATTTTGCTACAGCTCTGATTGTTTTTCTACCTCCATGCCTCTACCAAGCTTCGGGAAGCGGCTGGAAAGAGCAAAAATTGGCCAAACTGTACTCTTTAGCCTGACCAACTTCCCTGGAATGCTATCAGTCTATTTGGCCAATCGCTACTCTTTCCGGCCGCTTCTGAAGCCCGGTAGAGGCTAAACGTACGTTACGAGTTAGTAGAACGCACCTGTATGAACTGCGCGACGTCCTTTTTGCCCAGCATGTCCTCGACCCAGGCCGCCGTCTTCTTGCACTTGTCCAGCCGGGTCTGTCTGGAGGCTATCTGCTCCCTGAGCGTCCGGCTGCTCTCTCGCTGTTCCTTCTCCAGCTTTTCCACCAGCGCGTCCTTCCGCTCGTTTATCAAAGCTATCAGCGAGTCGCACTCCGATAGCAACTTTGCCTTCGTGTCTTTACATTTACTCTGCGAGTAGTAGCAAGAGACAGTGGTTAGAATGATACATATTAGAAGACTGTACAACGCCTCGCCCCTATATATTGCATCCACGCCCTGGTGATCATTGTAGCTGAAAGGAAAGGATGTGTTATATATATCGGCGCCTGGGTCTGAAAACTAAGCTATTAAACAACTAAATACATGTGTATAGAATGCATTTTATATCTGTTGATGTAAATTAAGTTTCAATGTCGAACCGTACAATATGAAAGACTCTTCCCTGTTTTTATCGAATTATCCATAATACATTGGAGTTGGACAACACTTAGGACACGTCTATACCTAAATGCATACCTTCAAATAGCATCACGAAAGTCTACAACAATAAAATCCTGACAAGTATACCAAGGGAAGAGGGCCGGTTTTGGAAATACGGAAAGTGTATTCGGTGATTAATACCATTTTTCGTTTGTTTGTTTGTTTGTGTGTTTATCAAGAATCTGTTTGTTTAATGAGTACCTTCGATGTACATGTAGCTCGTCGCTACTTACTTCAACGTCTGCGACGTCGTGCAGTCCGTAAATGGATCTGAATTTCCTGCGCGGGCCGGGATCACCCTTGAACGAGAGCAGGGGTGTCGCAGGGTGAGGGGGTGTCGTCAGGGGACTCCCCACACCACGCGACGGTGGGTCTACGCCACTACGGCTAGGTCTACACGTCTACGCATACCCCTCATTTGTCTAAACTCTACGACTCAACCATGCCTAAACACAGGCAAGTAACCATACGCTTTCCATGCTGAATGAGCCATCAAGTTGGCGATGTATGTGGTAAGGGAAATTTCTGCTATGGGCCAGTCATGGGAGCTGAAATAATATATGTGTAAAATATCTGAGATGTGATTCAATGTGGAGGAAAAGCAGGAGCCGTTAATGGCATGTGAATGCGAGTGTGAAGCTGGAGGATCATCGCTGTTAGTCACAGCTCTGTAAAGAAATGGAATAGACGATGGCGTCATGAGTTGCAAGGATACTGAACGTTGGCATGTGTGACAGTAAGACATTACTGAAAGATAAAGATGCATGTGTTTAGCAATGGATTGGATTTCTGGCCATGGTCGACCATTCTATGTAACCTCCAAGCAGATGTGGGGCAAGGGGAGTTACAGGAGGCCATTGGACACAGGCGGCCAGTATAAAGTCCCATTGCCCCACAGAATCTGCTTGGAGATTACATTCTATAGTCGTACTGCCTTTAAGTTAAAGAGTGTTACAGAGAACAAAATTACCGACAGGCCATTCCTCCTTCAGTAGTTTATTTCAATACAGCAGGCTATGGAAGAGACAGGTATGTCTTACCTCTATTATCCTTAAGGTGGCCTGTATGTCTGACATCTCCTTGGACATGTCACTGTTCTTCTGTTGAAGTCTGTTCATTTCCGTTTCAATCTTTTCCTGTAGAGATACATAATAAGAAATCAGCCGTTGATTAAGACTTGCGAAATATGATGCTACCACACACTCACGAATGAAAACGCCCACATGATATATAGTGTAATTTGACAGAGATTACTAGTATCATACTAAAACATACCCAATTTACAATACAAAATTAAGTATGGCAGATATGTTAATTTTCTATTTGGGAAGTCTTTTATAGCTGGAAAGCTGACCGTCACGATCATTATATTTTATAGACCAAGGTTGAAAATCGATAAGATGCTCAACGTTTATCCCATTCGTTATGCTAATGCTAACAACATGAGGTGCTAACATCAATGTCAACATTGCCGTGCTGTACATAAGAGTTTCTTCACTACATGTTGGCACATGGATAGCATCAATCAACAGCTACAGTAAACACTACAGATACAGTTAATACTACGCACTAGTATTACATTTAAATGCTTTTTACACTGCTTGGGAATGTGTCATATCAGGATTTATTTGGGTGATGTTTAGATGTCGACCATTTCAGGAATGATCAAACCGACCTTCTTTTCCTTGAAGATCGTCTGCAGCTCGATGATGTTGTGCTGGTTGTGCTGCCCGATGACGCACAGTCCGCAGATCGGTCTCTCGTCCGTCACGCAGTACAAGTTCACCCTCTCGTCCTTGTGGTCCCTGCAGTACGCCCCGCCGCCGGGAGGGGCCGTCTTGATCCCCGCCGACTGCGCCACCCGGTAGCTCTCGATGATCGTCTCCACCAGAATGTTCCGCTTGAGACCGTCGAGGCCCTGGCGGCCCAGGGTGATCTGGTCCCGGCACGTCGGGCACTTGAAGGACCCACCGTAGCGCGCCCAGCCGCCCATGTTGGTGAGGATGTCCTCGGCGCAGTGTCGGCACAGGTTGTGCTGACAGGGCAGCAGCAGCACCGGCTTGTTGAACATCTCCAGGCACACGGGGCACGACAGGTCCCGCTCCAGGCTCTCCATGACGAGACCCAAGTCCGGCGCGCGAATCTCTCCCGATGAGTGTCCGAAATTACTTCCGAGAGACGTCATCAACTGAAGCCTACGGAGAATCACAGACATAAAATCACACAGGATTCAGTACAGAGATACTGATATATACTAGCGGGAAGAAGAGTGTAACCTTAGGACTTGTTGTATAGATGACAAATGCTAGCGGAGTATTTCTATCAGATTTACAAGTAGATACACACATAGCATCTCATCAGCTGAAGCCTACAGAGAATCACAGACATACAATCACATGGGGAGTCGGTACAGAACTACAGTACTGATACGCTAAACGAAGCTTGGTAGAGGCTAATGTATAGCGGGAAGTGTAGAATTTGTATAAAGACAGATACATGTGTCATGATGTTCCTATCCGATTTACAAGTAGAAGGCACTGATCATAGACGACCGCAAAAGATACACACACACAGCGTAGCAACTCAAGAAGCGAAGAAAGGCACCACTAGCCACTAAACTAACCGCTGTGCCCTGTCACCGCTCTAAGAGATGTTAAGTAGTAGGTCATGTTATCACTAACCTGTCAGACTGAGCACAAGAGCAGAAACATCTACAGTACTAGTAAAAGTCGGTTTATTCTCATGGGCATTGCGTAGTTGTTTCGCGCTTATATACCGCGGTGACAGGGTGGGTTTGACCTCGGCCCGATATAGTCCGGCAGGGCTGCGTCAACGCCAATATGGAACGAGCTGCTTACTTCCTGTTTACGAATCATTTCGCAAGATCATGACGTAATGGTTTATATTTAGTTCTCAGTGAACGTTCTAGATCCTTGATGACATGTCACAGCGACATCGAAATGTAGAGTACAAGAATACAACTTCTAGACATAGGAGGTGCTGTGGCAGAACGATTCAATGCAGTCATGGGGAATCGAACCAATACTACCCATGTCAATATTTTCTGCATCTTCTGTTTTTCATGATTGACATCTGATACTACTACACTTGTTTTTGTAATTTTGAGGCAACGTCTCATTTTTACAAACTAAAAAAATGCTAGATGTGGCATTGGCAATGACAGGATCTGCCTATTTCTATATATTTTGGTGTGTCTCACCAAACTTTGTATTTAGCGTCATTGTTGGTCACTCTCTATGCTACGCACTTTGTGTTATATTGTGTAAGATGATGCCAATATTACATTACATCTGTGCTCACTATTGTTTATTGTTTATCATGATCTCCCCAAAATTGTTAGTCACAACAGTCACAGAATCAACCCCACAGATCTCGCACTAGTCACAGCGCCCACACGCTTGAGACGCCTTCCCTCTTCATGCCTCTGCAAGCGCACCTTTCGGACACGGTTGAAGGCAAGAGTGTCAGGTGAAGTAACTCGACGAGACAAAGATGTCCTTTGACTACCGAGTCAAAACGTTTACTCTGGTCTATTTGTTCTGACTGAGCAAGGACGGACGCGACTTACTGAGCACTCTTTAGCCTTTAGCAGGCTTCGGGAAGCGGCTGGAAAGAGAAGAAAATGCACAAATAGACAGATGATATGCCAGTGGAGTTAGTCCGCGCTAAGAGAACAATTTGACGCTCTCTTAATTAGATAGCACGGACCAACTCCAATGGCATATCATCTGTCTATTTTGCCAATTTGTACTCTTTCCGGTCGCTTCCCAAAGCCTGCTAGAGGCTAGGCACTCTGGCTATCACCGATTAGTCTCCTATGACTGGGTGCGGGTAAAATTCTGCCGTCTATTTTTGTCCGGTTGTTCATGACACACAGCTGCAGTCCACACATGCTCGATGTCTCACCCAAAATAACACACGCTATACGGCCGGCGGAACGACCGGCAAAACCCTCCCACCACCGCCGCTACAGACCATCTCTCTCACCAGCTTATGTCTTTCCAGGCCTGTGTCTTCCCAGCCAAATTCCTGAAGTTAAAACAACAGAACGGACCCCTTCCCCTGGTTGGCTCAGTGTGGCGGATTTCAAGCTATACATCTGACATCTCACAGTCTCACGGTCTTATATGGTAAATCTCTGTCCCAAAACGGAACTTTCCGCAAACAAGTTTCATTTGCCGTCGAAGACAAACGACGTCTGCTTGCACTTAGTTTATTTTCCTAGTTTAAATAGGAAGTCAAAATCTACGTGAGGTTAGGAGAAGGGGACGAGGGTAATCGGAGCCATCATACTCGAAGGGAGTGATCTACAGTCGATATG